GGAAAATTTTCAAGTTATTTCCAAATAGTGGAGGGTAGTAAAAGTTCGGCCCGGCCGAACTTAGCTGCTTTTTTACTTTTTTTTTTGGATTTTTGAAAATATAAATTCCATACTCACATATCTAATCCTGAGTATTTTATATCGAACATTTCTGAACTATGTAAGACTGTTTCGAATATAATCTAATCGGCCCTTCCTCTACATTAACTTATGATCAAGACATTATTATGTGATTATTTAAATTTCCGGCTTTTTGGAAGCAACATAGAGAATTTATTCCATACTCTAAGATCCAGAGTATGGAATAAAAAAAAACATTATATTATATTTTACAAAGAAATATTTGGACTAAATCGGACTCGATTTGTTCGAAATTTGTAAATTGTTAATTATTTTTTCAAAAAAAAAAAAATCAACATTTTTAGAAATAAAGCGTAAAAATGGGCTTAATCGACTCACAATATTCTGATATATCGTCCACCATGAGCCAGATTACGGGGTTTGATTTCCATAGGACCTTAATAAATATTATATAAATATTGAGACATGCCTAATTTGGACTACATCGGCGAATTCCTACACTTCATATGAGAAATGTGATACTTTTTAGAAAATATTAATATGTGTGTGAGGCACCAGATAAAAATATTCTTATGGCCAAAATTACAAGAAAATCGAACATTTATATTCAAATTTATTCGAAATCATAAATTGTTATATCAAGTTCCAAAGAATAGCTGACTTGTTTCGCAAGTTATGACACATAAAAATATTAAAAATTGTGAACCTTTGTGAGTGAGATACCAGAAAGGGTTTGCAGATATATATCATATTCACAACAGATCTTGTATTAGCAAACATGTTTGTATGTGTAGAACTTGAAGAGAGATTGATGTCTATTTCGCTTTCTTTGAGTGTTTTGTTTTTAAAAATATGTAACCATATGTGGGTGAGGTACCAGAAGAAATGGTCCGATCTCTACAATCTTTATAAAAGATCTTGTGATGTTGAGATGTACCAAGTCTGAATGGAATCCGATGTTAATTTCACGTTTTAAGAGCTTCATGGATATTCAAAATGTTGACCCTTTGTGTGGGAGGTAAAAGAAGGAGTGGACCAAAATATTCCATCTTCACACTAGACTAGGTTAATAAAAGTATTATATCCAATTTGAAGACAATCGGAGCCTTACATCACATATTATAAGATTTATAATTATTCAAAATGTTGACCTATGTAGGGGAGGTACTTGATGGAGTAGACCGAAATTTGGAGCAAAATCGGATTATCCCTTCTGTGTAGTAAAATATTTTATTTATTTATTTATTTAATTTAATTTTTTTTTTTTGAATATTTCGGCATTTTGTGGAGGTGGTACCAGAAGGGGTAGACAGATATTATCCACCTCCGAACTCAATCTAAAATACACCCTTCGAGAGTTAATGTGCGCCCCAGACAGACAGACGGACGGACATCGCTAGATCGACTCCAAATGTCCTGAAATGCCGTCATATGACGGCTATGTGAAAACCTGGAACCATACAGATAATTCCCTACTCCAAATATCCAAAATCATATAAATACCAAATATCGGGGGGACCGTTATATGGGGAATATATGATCAAATCAAGGTGAGATCAAATACTAAATATTAAGGCGGATTGTATTGTTTTATGCGGCCCACAACCAACAATTTTATGAGTTATAACAACATTTTTTTAAACTTTACTGCATCCCGTTCGGAATCATGAGTGATATCCAAAAACTACCAGTGCTAAATAGATATAGAAACTGATAATGAAATTCTTGATCAGATCACATACTTCACATCATATTCATATTGAGTGTTTAATAACGACGTGGATGGATGGATTTACATCCAAGGTATAAACCAAGGTTGAAGTTTCGAAAGGAGCCACTAATCCTCACCGATTCCCGCACTTTTGACTACATGACCACTATTTCTTACTTCTTTTACATATATATTTTTTGAAGACTATGCTATATTCCCCTACACTCATAGTTTATGGCTTTATTTTTACAGTTTTTACCAACATTCGGTATTTTGTATTAAATTCTTAAATTCAACTCTAATAAGCTTTAATAATAAGCTTTTTAGCTATTCGTTGCGACAAAAAATTGCCTCATCGAAATAACGGCTTCAGAAATTAGGTATTTTTGGCCGAAATTCGTTTCAGGACATTTTGAGTTGATACAGCGATGTCTATCCGTTTTGTCAGATTGGGAGTATCCGATTTCGTCCAAATACGGTACATCTTAATATCATTATCCAACTTTGATAAACTTCGGAGATGGACAATATCAGCCTACTCCTTCTGGCACCTCCCACACAGAAGGTCAATATTTTCCAAGAAAATTTGTTATTTATCACATAGAACAATAATATATCATCCAATTTAGTACACATTTGCAAATCCCAAAATTTTTAAACTTATTTAGACAATATCAGCCCACCCCATTATTTACCTCCCTCACTAAGGGTCAACATTTGGAATAATTATAATTCTCATAAAAAGCGAAATAAGCATCGGATTCTCTTCAAATGTCACACATCGCAATGTTTTTATTAATACAAGATCTGGAATGAAGATGACAGGTATCGGTCTACCTCTTTTGGAATCTTCCCCACAAATGCTCATTTAAATATTTATATCTTGCGGAACAAGTCATCGATTCTATTCAAACTTTATACATCTAAATATTTCTCACAACGATTCTCTGCTCTCTCGGGAGATACGAAATTTGTTATATATGTCTGATTTTCTTTAAAGTCTTCACATCCCAATATTTTTTTCAGTATTAAATGAGGAGGAGCACTTTGGTCCACTATATTCGTTATCTCACTCATATAAAGTAAAGGACATAGTCAATAAGGTCCTAATCAGACATGTTGTAATATTTATATCTGAGTTACTTTAAATGAGAAGTGCATAATATTGCTCCACTCCTACGGTATCTCCTCGAATATAATCATAATTATAATTTAAGTCAAAATATATTTCAATAAACTGACATAGGTTGCGGGTATACATCTGTCGGCAAAATCGACTGATAGTTTTTCATTTTTTTTTTTTAATATTTTGCAATTGTTTAAATTCAGTCCTTAGAGAAAACCTACAATTCACTAGTAGTTATTGTTACTCACAGCATTTTAAAATTTGTAGCATTTTTAGCTAATTTTCAATGATTTATTTTATCAACTTAGAGCTGGTTGCTGACCATATCAACCGAGAACTAACTAAGTGCAAAAGTCTCCATTTCCAATTATTTTGAAATCTTTCGAAGCAAATTGTTTTATTAATTGAAGGATTTTGAAAGTAATTTTTATTTTAAAAAATTTTGAAAAATGCATGGCCAGATCCTTTGCTTTTAATATTTTCTTTAAATAATCGACATTTCTTTAAATATATCGAGTTCGTCTGTTTTTACTGAGTCCTTTCCGGAAATCCCGTTCATCCAATAAAATACAATTAATACAACGACTTCGAAACTTATGAGATACATTGTATCCTCTCAATAAAACATTATTGTATCTTTAACTTTTGAGAGGTAAAAAATTCTTCACTGCACTCAAATTACAAAAATTAAGATATCTCTAAATGCTGCCGGGGGTTGCATATCACTCCGAATTAGATATAATTTCGAAATCCAAACAAAAAAACACATTTTTACAGAAAAATAGAAGCTCGCCCAAGTTATTTACTGATCGTTGAATGATAAGTGCTAATCACATGGCCACCACTGTAATTTCCATACATTTGAAGATATAAAAATTTGGTCTTGCCCTCAAGACGTATGAGTAATAATAATAATATGAATAATAATAACAAAATATAATGCAAATTTATAGTTATGAATGAACAATAGCCAGCGAACTAATGGCTATGATCGGTCACCGTTCAAACAGCAGCAGCAGCAGCAACAACGATTAAATTCGATACAAATCAGTAACTTTAGCCAAATGAAATATTATTCAAAAAGCCAGCCAACGAAGGCTTAGATAATGGAAATATTGATGGATAGCTGGACGTGTATTCGCATACATACATACATAAATATATACGGGTAGTACATAAGATTATGGTATATGGAAGTATATATGTAATATACTGCTGGATAGATCAGCGAACCTGAACATGCTGAAACCTAAGACAAAATACCGCCCAATAAGACAAGCCAGCCAAGCAAAAACAGCGACGACGACTTTAAAGCCATAACAAATTGAGAGTAAACGAACCACGTCCATAGCCACTAACAAACAGTTAACAAAGACCAATCAAGCCCAAAACGTCCGAACGCGTTACAAACAACATTGCCTTTTAAACTTTTAGTTTGGGGTCGAGCCAGGCAGCAATAAATTGTTGCTTTTTCTGCCATGATTTTTTGGGAGGCAGAAATAAAAAAAAAATATCTCGACAACAATTACAATCTGCAAAATAATTATTTATAATTAAACATCATCAGTGAAGTGAAGTGAAAAAAATATGTTTAAAACAAAAGAAAAAGGAAGAGCGAGAGAAAAAAACCAAAAGCCAAATATGTGAAAATAAATCTGAGAAATAACTTCAAGAGATAGTGGAAAAAATATATTTTTTTTTTTGTAAAAAATACTCCTCAAAGTGTAGCCCAGAGGGCAAGAAGAGTGAAGAAATAACAACAACAACAACAACGACAAAAACCAAAACGTTGCTTAAATGTTGAAATACCCAATGGTCGAATTGTGTTCTACTGAGCCGTTGTTACCGCAAAAATGTTTACGGCCATTTTTAAAATCACCAGAATTTTTATTGAGCAATGTCAGAGTGTTTGTGTCTTTAAAGTACAGCGAGCAAATTTAACAAATTCCCAGCTGGACCAAAGTCAGCGGCATCGACATCAACCTCAGTGGCAGCAGAACCAGCAGCAGCGGCAGCAGCAGCGGCAACGTCGCCAACAGCATCAATTAAGGCAATTACAACAATTTTACAAAAGAATTAGCAATGTTTTTATTGTTCGGATTAAAAGCCCGGCCACAATCACAACAACAGCAGCAAGAGGAAAAACAACAACAGAAACACCATCACCAACATCTACAACGATCACGGTCACGAGAGAAGGAGCAGCAGCAGCTACAACAGCCGAAAAAACAATCACATATCATCGAGTCATCAACGAATCGAACAAAAAGCCAAATTTACAATTCTGCAACAACAGCAACAAATCCTGCAACACCTACATCCTCGTCATTGAAAGGCCCACAGATAACAACAGCCAAGCTGTTAAGCCAACAACATCAGCACTACCAGCCAGAGCAACACCAGACGACATTTGCATTGCAGGCAACAGCAACAACAAGCACTATTCATGGGCATGGAGGAGCAGCATCACTGTCATCAATACAAGACCATGGAACACCAGCGTCAGCCACAGCCGCAGTCACATCCTCATCATCCGCATCCACATCACCGCCATCCTCATCATCATCGCCACCAACGGGAAATTTAACTGTAACGCCTCGTTGCCTACACCTGCATTTGCATTTAATTATTGTGATTATCTTGGCCTGCTGTACAAGAAGGTAAGTACCTTGGTTGCATTTTCAGAATGGCTCTAAAGCCACTCCAACGACAACAGCAACAACAACCAGTCCACAGAGTTTGGCAACAGAAAATTCATCATCGTCCTCGAATGGAAATGCTCCGAGCTTAGGTTGTCAACAACGACCTCCTCGTTGTCAACATATTGTAATTTGTTGTTGTTGTAAGGTGTTCCACCATAGACAGACATTCAGTCAGACAGACGGATATGTTAACCAGACATGACTATGCCTGTAAACACACAGGACCAATTAATCAATCACACACAAATTTGCTAATACCCTACAGAGGGGCCATTCCAAATTTGCTATTGTGTCAAGAGGATGTAACACCTTGGACAACAAGGAATTTCTATATAGAATATGAATATAGATACAGGTCTTCGAAATTCAAAAATGCGCAATTTTAAAAATTCCACGTTGGTCCTGGGATCCAAATAGTGTTGTTTAATTAAATATTGGTCACATAAAAAAATTGGAGGCCGTTTTAAAATTTTGAATCCAATTTTTATGTTTTGATTTGGTTAGTAATATTTTTAGAGCTTTATTCGTAAATTACCAACAATCTCGTACAAAAAAAAAAAAAACTAGCACAATATAGAATTCACATTTATTGGAAATTAAAATAGAACAGTGTAGGCATGTTTGTTAGAGGTAACGTAGTATTTTGTTGTTGCAAAATAGTTAGGCTTAATCCCATTATTGCTGTTTTCATAAAGTTTAATGGAGAAAGATAATGATAACTATGGGTTAAGGCAGGGAATTAATAGATTGCGGAAAAGCCACCATTCCTCATAAATTTTGTCTGGGGATATTCTCCCATGGGGTTATTATAAAATAATTCCTAGGACAAAAAAAAGTTTTTTACCCAAGTGACGGGATCGCAAACATAAGACAATAGGAACCAAAGAATTGAATTAAATTAAAATTCTTTGGCCATTCCCTCAACATATTACAACCTCACCTATAAAGTTAAAATGAAATTAAAATATGTTCAACATAAATCGTGTTTACTCCCAACTTTCGTAAAAAATCTAAATGTTGAACCTAAAATATCTTTTTTATCCTGATTATTATAAATTTTTTAAGAGGAAAATACATACTCCCCTTGCAAAATATGGGGTTCGAAAGTTTATTTCTCTTTTGAGACGAGCTTAATGGTCTTAAATCTGTAGTGAAAAGGAAAGCCAGAAGACACTATCACACACTCACCACTATGCGATTATTTTCGCCGTTGGCTAAGCGGCTCATCAGACATATTTGGTGTGGATGATGGCTTACAAAGGCCGTTCTTGGGAAAGTAGTATTTATTTCGAACTTATTGCGATTAAGCATATGCGAATTGAACACCAGAAACGCTCCAAGTTCGATCCAAGTTCTATTAGACAATCTATTTCACAGCATAGTTTGTTGTGTGTGTGCTTTTTCTTCGTAAATTTTATACTTTCTTAAGAAACCGGTCTCCTTTCTCCTCCTGGTTGTGTACACCGGCTACGCGGACAAAGGTTTTTTTTCTACTCTATTTGGGAGATACCCTTACTTCCCGAAACGTACGGGTTTCTCCCCGAAACAGTTAAATGTCATTTGGATTAGAAATAGTGAAATAAAAATAGAATTAGTAAAATGTATAAACTCAAAAATTATGGATATTTTTCCGATAGACATTTTAACTGACCTTCTTTTGGAGGGCGTATGTAGAAAAGACAACGAAATGGCGAAAACCCATTTCTGCAATTACCCATCTCTTGCAAATATAGGGTCACAGTGTTTGGATATTGGAACCGACTCAAGAGCACAGAACTCTTGAACTTAATTAATGCCAAGCTGTTATGAACGCACACCTGGGGCTGGATTCTGGATTCCGTTTGTAACTCCTCAAAATACTCATGGCAGACCCAACAAATTATATATATTCTTGATCAGCGTATATATATTCTTGATCTAAGACGACTAGAAGGCTAAAATTTTGCACACATGTATATTTTGACAGTAGCAGGTTAAGTTCGTAAAAGGGCCATGTAGGTCCCCATATAACGGTACCTCCCGATATTCGGTATTTTGATGATTTTAGCGACATTATTCACCGGAATTGTTCCAAATTTGGCATTTGAAGTTCGAAATGGATACTATAGCCAAAGACAGAAAATTGTCTGTGCAGGTCCACGTCTTCCTATAGCCCCCTTATAACGGTGCTTCTCTATAATCGGTATTTTGATGATTTTAGCGACACTAGTTACCGGAATTGTTTTAAATTTGGTGTTTAAAGTTCGCAATGATACTAAAGCCTAAGACAGAAAATTGTTTGTGCAGGTCCACGCCTTTGTATAGCTCCCACATAACGGTACCTCCCTACATTATTCACCGATTTTTTTCTAAGTTTCACATTTAAATATTGTAATGGCTAATGAAAAAAATTGCCTGAAAAAATTACCCTTATATAACGGCTACATTCGGAATTTCTAAGATTTTAACGGATTTTAGTGTTTTTGAGAATTGCCAAATACGTTCCAAATGGTGGAGGGTATTCAAAGGCCTGGCCCGGCCGAACTTACACTTTTTTTACTTGTTGACATTTAGCATTTTACTTATTTTATATCTTTGTGCATTTGTTTTTAACAGGCAAAAAGAAACGAGATAGACCCATAGTTCCTCTTGATAATCTGCATAGAATCACATTCCGAATCGATTTATGCATGTTCGTCCGCCTGTCTGTCCATGTATTTTTGTTTTAAACCTAAGGAAAATTTTGATATAGGTTCCATATATACATTCGTCCGATTTGCTTTTAATTGTGCAGCAAACGTGTATGGAATTTTGCATATACGACCAAATTAAGCCTGGAAATAAGTATGCCAAATTTGATCGAAATCTGTTCAGATATGGATGTAGCTCCCATATATATATTGTTCATCCGATTTGATATTTTTGTCCTCCGCAGCTGTAATATGCGCTCTGCAACAACAATATTTGGCGAAATGTATGAAATTCAGCACAGAAAAACCTTTATCATATAAATCTGCGTCCGATTTTCTTTTTATGGGGCGCCAAACTTACGACCAAATTGAGCATAGAAACAAGTATGTCAAATTTAGTGAAAATCGGTAGAGATATAGCTTTAGCTCCTATATATATTGTTCATCCAATTTGTTATGTATATCCAGTCCAGGTACGTACGTACAATGAGCCCCTCGGAAATGGCTTATTTTCTCTCATTTTTTGCTTTTTTTATATTTAACATGGAATAAATGGATTTTTTGCTAATTGCACAAATCGAAATGGATTATTGTGTATATCCCTAGTTCGGCCAATGTGGACGTCTGAAACATCCATCATAACCATAACATGGAATGCGTTTGAAGTCGTAGGTATATGAAGATATTAAATACATTGTTATAATGGGATGCATAAATTTTCTCCTTTCGAAATTTCCTCAAAAAGGTGTGTTCTATACAAACCAAAAGGAATAACAGTACTGTTCCAAATTCAGAATATTATATTTTTTCGAAATTCACGTTAGGTTTAAAATTTAAAACATTTCATCTGCTAGCAAAAAAGGCCAAAATTCTGAAAATTTATCGAACTCGCATATTACGAACAGTCATAGTCTTGAGTATATCATACATCAATACGGATTCGCTCCTATCATACCTCCTAAAAATAAAATTGTACAACATTTTAACTTCTTTATGAATAATATCAAGGGTGTATTCATTTTTTGCTCCTTTTTTGCTAAATTTTGAAGTTTTACAACAATTTTATTTTTTAACAAATTCCATAGATAATTATAACTAGACTATGCAACAAATATTCAATAATTTCAAAAATATTTTGAAATAACATTAAACAAAAAGTTCGTTTGCTTATATAACGATAAGCTAGATGCTTCAATATTTAATAATAATAATAATAATAATAATAATAATAATAATAATAATAATAATAATAATAATATCGACCTTCTAATCCCGCTAAGTCGGTCTAGTTATGTGAGTCAATCCGTCTGTCTGTCCAAGTTAATCATGTTTTTCGAAATTTTACAAATTTGAATCAGAATAAAAGCCCACGGTTTTCGAAAGGTTCTCAAAATATTTAGGTTTAAAATATAACAAAAAATATTTTTTTTAGATTTTGCAGCATATTAAAATAGCACTTATGATCATTACATTAATGCTGATTTCGTTGTCATATATAATCAGATATCAAATATACAGCAAAATATATATAGGAATCTAAATTTTCAAATATTGTTTTGAATTCCCATGTTGAAGATTACACTCCAAAAGAGGCCATTATCTTCAATTACTCTAATCCAGTAATATTAAGTGTATTAAATAAAACCCATGTTATGGTGATAATTTTTAATTACATATTTAATTGTTTGGACTTGTCTGTGAACTTTGGGTTATTAATATGTAATTCCAGATATTAAACCAAATATCATAACAATTATGATTGATTTAAAAAAATTATAATATTATTATTTAAAAAAAATACATATGTTCTTATCCTAAGATCTCACAGTAAATGTACCATTTTTAGAGTAATTACATGGTCGTCCTCTCCCCAACTGCATCCATTTTACTGAGTTCGTTGTTGTTATTATTTTTGCATGCTCAACTAATGGAAATTGATGTAGTCATCGTCATTGTCATCCCATTACAGCTACTGACTGCAGGCAGCCACTCTGACAACTACAAGAATAACAACAACTACTACAACTATGACATGCAGGTGTTAATAGTGATTTTATGGTGCATTTATTCAAATTAGTCTCTCTCTCACCATAAACTACACGAAAATAGGGGTCGACTTGCAGGACCCTTAACATAAAAAACGAAAATGAAGAAGAAGTAAACTAGATATAAATGTGGTAGTAAATGGAAATCAAGGTTGTCATTTGCAGTTTCTTAACAAAAAGTTAAAAGTTTATTTATTTTAAGTTTTATTTAAATGATGAGAGATATGTAGAAATATTTTAATTT